TTTCCTATTCAATATTCACACAAGTATACTAAATTCAAACATGTAAATTATTTACTGGAATGTATCCGTGTAGCCGATTGTCTTTCCAGCATATTTCTCGGTCGGGGATTGGGTGACGGGATAGTCTAACGCATTTACTGGAATGTAGCCGATTGTCTTTCCAGCATATTTTTCAGTCGGGGATTGGGTGACGGTATAGTCTAAAGCATTTACTGGAATGTATCCGTGTAACTGATTGTCTTTCCAGCATATTTCTCGGTCGAGGATTGGGTGAAGGTATAGTCTAACACATTTACTGGAATGTATCCGTGTAGCTGATTGTCTTTCTAGCATATTTCTCGGTCGGGGATTGGGTGACGGAATACGGTTTAGATAGTAAGATCTATATTTGATCGGTTTTTAAATATGTCAGCATACTTTATCTGTAACTTGTTTGTAATTTTTACCTGTTTATAACAGTAATAGGGGTAATAAAACAATCTTAGATACCACGGATTGACAAGGTCAGACACGATTAATGAGCTTACAGTCTATTCAACAAGCACGTATATATTATATATACGTAGTATCCTGTTTATCGCATTCCCTACGAGAAAAACAAGGGTTGGTGCACCAGAAAAAATCATTATATAAATAAATATGTTTGTTCATTTTCGATAAAAAAAAAATTCCGTCACATGTCGGAAAAAGCCAGACCATATTTCACCCATAACGGATTTAAGGACGCTTCAGATAAACCTATATTGGGACACCGACTTTTTCTTTCTATCAGTCTATTTAGTCTTTTAAAGCTCTATAATAGTTCCGGTGTGTTAACGGGTAAATTACTTTTAAAGCTCTGGAATAATTCCAGTTTGTGAACAGCTAAGTTACTTTTAAACCTTTGGAATAGTTCCAGTTTGTTAACAGGTAAGTTACTTTTTGATACACAACATACAGCGTTTCCAAATATTATATTTGTGGATATTTAACCATGCATTTTTGGATTTAGTTGAAATTGATAAGAAATTTCCAATTTCATATAGTTGTTAACCAATGCATTAACCATGCATTCTCGATTTAGTCAAATTTGTTTATATGTTAAGAAATTTCCAATTTAGTATAGTTGTTAACCAATGTTCATCACATTTGGTTACAGTTAGAACTATTCATCCGATTTGGTTACTGCTAAGAAATATTTATCTATTTTGGTCATTGTTAAGAAATATTTACCCAAACAGATCCCTGCTAAGAAATATTTATCTATTTTGTGTGTATATAATATAGAATTGGATTCTACTGAATAGACAGTTATCAAATCTGTTAATAACACAAACATTTCAAATGGTCTTTAGAAGAATTTTACATACGTTTTTGCCCATTCTAAGTTCCTCCTGTCGTGACCATATCGCAGAAAATTGTCGCAGAGCCCGCCAAGATCGCCATAACCGTGGTGGAAACACCAGATATTGTGCTATGGTCTCCATGGTCGCCAATGAACGCAGAACCGTGACGTTTGTTTTGAACATGCTCAAAATAAACGCCGTTACTCTGCGATCATTGGCGACCATGGAGACCATAGCACGATATCTGGCGTTTCCACCACGATTATGGCGATCTTGACGGGCTTTGAGCCCATTTTCCGTCGCCGTAGCGTCGCAGTAAGGACGCCACCCCGGTCTGACGGGGGTATAAGACAATACATTCTGCGATATGGTCACGAATGGTCAATTTCCGGTGACACGATCTGTCACGATCTGGTCTCCCGTTCAAATACGACATGACACGTTCCGATAGGATTGTCCATGTTGAGTCCATGATCTGGTACGACACGGAACACCGGCCCGTTTAGTATACGATTGTGGTCGAAATGTCTTAAACGGTCGGAATGGAGCATGATCACGGTGTATATTAACAGGGCTTGGTATTTGTCTTGCCCCCACTGACCACGATTTGTTACGATCCAATACGATCTGAAACGATGATCACGGTTGACAATTAATCGTAGAAAATTGTTGAACCGTCCAAAACTTTTCTACGATCAACACGATTGCTACGACTGACCTCAATATATGATAAGACATGATAGGATCACCACGATTAAAACCACGATTTCAATCGTAGCGCGAATCGTGATATTGGGAATCTAGCATCAGCTACAATGTTTACAAACGGATTGATGTATACTAATAAACGTACAGTTTAATATTTTTTTTATCTCTGTGGCACGATTATTGAGTTGACAATCTATTCAAACAGCACGTATAGATATGTACCTATATGTATATACCCAATAACCTTTTGGTATTATTCCTGATTTAACGTCTACATAAATGTACTGTTAAGGTAGTTTTATTTAACAATGAAATATTCCACGGAGACTTATATTTTGAAAAAAAGGAATTATTTTTAAACAATGTGAGCATAAGTATATAAAATAATTATATGCTACAATATACACCTCTAGTCGGGGCCCTTGAGAGGGGGCGAGACCTTTCTTGTCCCCCTCCCCTTCCCACTCCTTTCCAACACTAGTCCTATCTAGATGATTCACTAGCAGATTGCGATAAAGCGGAAACTTTTGTACATATTTATCATATAAGCTTCAAAGGAACGATAAAAGATTCGTGCATAATTGCCAATTTCAATTTTGAGCTTTGATATTCATGGGCCCCATGAGGCCCTGGGGCGGCGCACCGGCTGCATCCCCCTCTCGTGAGTCCTGTCTATAGTACCTAATGTGTTGATTTTCTATGCTAATATATTTCCTAAGAAGGAAAATTAACATACAATATTTTCATTAATACAATTCAGGATATGATATTCAAGAAAGACTAGAAATATATGACTACAATAAAAGAGTTATATTATACTTATCTAGAGCTTGTTCTAAATAACGGATAATCTGAAAGTCACCATTTTCGGCAGTGTCCAGGGCGACAGTAGTAGTTAGTATGAGGGAGGGGGAGAGAGAGGGGTGGGGGGCAAATAGGGTCCTTCAGCCCTGGGAGGAAACCGGGATATATAGTGAAAACCCAGCAGACTCTACTGCTTTTCACGCGCAGGCTTGGGATAGCACCACAACACTTGAATCAGTGACAGACCATATGATCTAAAGCGCACCATTCGCCCCCCCCCCCCCTGGACACTTCCCCCCCCCCCTTTGGTGTTATGGTAATGTTTATTTATAACATACCTAATGTCTTTGACATAATGACGTCACCCCAGCATGATTTTAATTCGATTAGGTAATAATTTATTTTGTGCTGTCTATAATTCTGAAATTGATAATCAGTGATTATTATGTCATCATAGATGTTGCAAAAAAAAATGGAGATTAATTTAATTTTATCTGTGAAGCGCCAGGTAACACAGCTAGTATTCAATAAAGCAGCTTAAAATAACCCTACTTTAAAGTCATCTAGGAAAACAATGTAACGTATAAGACTTGAACAGTAATTTACCTGTTCACCTGTACAGGTAGCTAAAGGGTAGGATGGGAGGTCATGTCTACATATATTTAATTAACTGACAAAAGAATGCAAGGCCACACATTTTAAATTTGTTGTTTCGGTTATAACAAAGGCTTTCGTTTTTCTAAATTACTGGCTCATTTTAAATGAAAACAACCCAGTGAACATAAAAACTGCTACCCCGGTACGACCTGCATGCAGACAAGATTTTACATCAAAAGCGATATTTGAAGTGAGAAGTGCACTGATACAGATAGAAACGAATAGTTTGGTTATCTTATGTGCCGAATTATCAGGGGACCCTCGAGGATATATGAATCCCCGGCGAATGTTCGGCGACCATTCGATGACCTTTCAGTAACACATTCCCAATTTTGGGGGCTGCATACTCGAATATTCACCGATATTTGGACGACGGTTAAAACGTGCATTCTTCCCATGGCGTTGATTGCCTGGATTGTGCATAAAGTACATTTATTTTTAAATCAGTGATGGTTTCCATATGCCTAGGTCCGATTAGGCATTTTTTTCCTCGGGGGATGTACGACCGATGGAAATTGATGAGTTTCGGGGGCCGCCGGGAACAGTTTCCCCGGTGTCTTGGTGGAGAAAATTTATTTCCACATCTCGGATTATTTTTCACCAGTGGGACCTAGGCATTACACTATTATAAAGACATGTTCATGATTATTTGCATTTTTTTTATCGAACGTGTTTATAACAATAACAGGTGCATATGTATTTTAATGTCTTACTAAATGTAATGTACATGTATAACAATTCTAAAGCAATGAATATATATATCTGTATGGCAACATTTTCAAATATATGTACTTTCGTTCTATTAAATTATTGTGAGGACTGCTTCGATTTATTCAAATTTTATGTCCTTCGTTCGCTGGTGGGGAGTGACGTCCGCTTTCTTCCAGGGTCGTTCGTTCGTTCGTTTCTGGAGTTTTACGTCCACTTCCACCTAAGGTGATATCGTAGACAATCTTCCAGGGTGATATCGCAGGCAATATCTACATATATATGTGTATGGCCTTGATTAAATATTCTATTTTTTTTTTTTTTTTTTTTTACGAGTTAAGATCAAAAGGATTAAACGGTAACTTAATCCAAATGGCTTCATCCTATCCCGTGTAACAACAAACGTAGGTGTTGGTGTTTTTGTTTTATTATTTCGTTCATTAATCATCGATTTAAGTTAGTCATTTATAATAACAGAGGTGGATCCAGGTGTTCCTGTCTTGTTCATGTATTTAACACATATTATACGTACCTGCTACTTATACTCGGCGTTTTATTGACACTTTATCTTTACGACAGCTTAAACTAATTGGCTTTGTATCATAACTTGATTTCATTCGGACAAACAATGTCAAATTCTGGGAAATCAGTCAACCGGTGTTAGTTCTCTACCTGGTCTATTCAAAGGCGTTTTGACTGTTACCTCTCCCATGGCCTCGCTACAAGAGGTCAAAGGTAAGAAGGTTTCGCTTGGTTGACGATGACTGGAACAGATTGGATAAAAGTAAATGTCATCACAGTGTCTCCAGCACACACTTAGATTTCGCTCAAGCGCATACACCGCCTCTGGATAAACATAAAGTCAGAGAAATAACTGTAAAAAGGAGGACTTCTGTTCTTTTTTAACCTAGGATAAACCGATTGGAAACAACCAACTGGGACGATTCCTGGCAATATGGGAAATAAAAAAGAGGTAAGAACTATTTTTTTATAATTTTTCATTGAGCAGTTTTTTAAAAAAAATGTTAAGAAATGTTAATAGTTGATTTTTGTTTTCTGACAAAATTGTCGGGTTTAATTAGTTTATCAATAAACGTTTTAAAATAATAATTTGTATTTTTCCTCCATTTTAAAGGTGGAAGTAGCGGTAAGATATTTAAAAACTTCGGGAATAATTCTCTTTTTTATTGTAGTAGATTGTAGGATTCTCTAGTAGTATTTTTTTAAAAATTCCTGCTTAAAATATTGCGCACACCCGAAAAATCAGCTTATTTACCCCTACTGCTTCAACACTTTGATTAAAATTTCACAATATATATGCATTTCACATTAAAGCTTTTTATTTTCAATTTATACATGTAATTCACTGCTTGAATCTATTGCCTTTATATGATACTCTTTTTATATTTATTTTGTTTTACATATTTTATTTCTTGGAGACTGAAATAATGTATTTTCCTCTATAAACTAACATTGCAGATCGAGGGATATATATATACATATTTATCAAAAATTTACCGAAATAACATGAACATGATATGACATGACCTATATCTCACAACCCGTCTTGCCAGTTCTAGACAGCTTGTGACAGATGAATTCCATTCGACCGATAACATTTTTAATTGGAATTTCTAGTCGCCAATCGTGACTTAAAGAGTTGCGTAATTTATTCAGGAGAGCTAGGTTGGACACACAACAGGATACTGGTGGAAAAACACGAAAACGTGCTTTGATGTTTAATTTATGAGGGGTCAAGGATCTAGCTTGAAAGTTTCCATTGCGTTGTAGATGTATGTAAGTGCGCTATAAGTTTTAAAGGATGTTTTGGGTTTAAACGTGGGTAAAAAGAAATGAAAGTTTCAATTTAATTAAATCTGATGTGTTTATTTAATTTGCCTAGTGGGTATCTATCTACATGTAAAATGTTACGCCCACAAATAACGCAAATAACGGATTGGACGTTTCACAGTCGACATGTACGGGAACGGAACTCTAATTAAAAAACAAAGCGATTTTCGGCTTAATATTTGGAACAAAATCTTAATCGAGTAGAGCTTATCTCGAATCGTTCGTTGAATGATAATTCACATCAGATCGACCCAATTGATCATTTTTTAAAGTTGCAACTCCTTTAATCATTCACATTTAATGACATTTTCTGATAAAATATTCAGTTTTATTTTTCCAATTCCGAATAAAAATAATAAATAAGAATGTCCAACATGCCAGATACTTGTAGATAAAAACCGCAGACGGTAACCGTAGCCAGTAACCGTAGAAAGTAACCATAGGCAGTAATCGTAAACAGTAACCGTAGACAGTAACCGTAGCTTGTAATCGCAGAAAAAAAAATCCGGAGACACAGCAGAAATAGTTTATGTACGAACTTCTCAAATAAATAATTCGTACCAGGTGTTGAAGAATGAATAGGTATAATCTTATGTATACAAATGTCTGGTTTGATCATGAAATCTCGTCTGTTCCAAATCTCGTATGACAATGGTCTTGTATTTACATGTTAGGTGTTTGGGAAATTATTCTTACGCAGAGACATATTAGTGAGTTATTTGAAAGCAATCGTCAAGCTTGACTAACGCGCACCTCTTCCATCACAATAAATCATGGTTTGGCGATCACACCTAGATGCCACCCTTGCACTGTTAAAAACAACGACATGGCGGTCATCCTAACTGTATCGGGTTTATACCGTTTTCATTCATAGTCTATGTAATGTTTTCTTCAACTTAAGTTCATAACAAGGAATGATCCTGACCATCTAGACATTTTATTGGTCGAAAATCGAGTTTATTGACAAGGTGAAAATACTCTGGGTTACGTCTACGTATGATAAGTAATAATACACGTGCTAATAACCCACGTGACTAATAGCAAATCAACACTTTCACACCTGTACTAATTAGTCCATTAATTAGATTAATCACTTTTGTCAAATATTTTACATGTTGAAGATTGCACCATTAATGCTTCCGGGTTAGTTCGACTGTCAAACGGGGGGGGGGGGGAATGATAAGGTCTGTCATTTAGCCAACTAGCGTGGTTTCGATTCCCCGGTTGTACGTGACAAGGAGTAGGGTCGTCTGTCTAACCTCGCGGGGTTTCTCCCACTGCTAAAGACCCCCACGCGCAAGCGAATTATTGAAATAAAATTGAACCATATGCTTTTCCCTAAATGACCTATTTTGTATCGAGTGGATGTTAAACTCGATGTTACCCACCCCCCCTCTCTCTCTCTCTCTCTCTCTCTCGACTGCCCAAACTACGAAATAAAAATGAGCCGTTGGTTGCCCGCGTGAATAGTGAGGATAAAGAATAAAAATAATAATTTGTCATCTTCATTCGCTCATCTGATTACTATTCGGTGTTTTCGTGGGTAGGAAAATAGGTCAATGACATGTGTCACCAATTTGTATCATGTTATGGCCATACCATATCGTTCGTGGGGCATACCGTTGTTGTTCGTTCGTGGGCTTTAACGCCCGCTTCAGCGATATGACGTCGGTAGAAGCGGGAGTTGAATAAAGAGAAGCTGATATCGCAGACCAAAAACTTGCTAGAAGAGTCAGTCGTGTTTGAGAGTGCTAGAAGGATATCGGTAGACTTTTGAGATAAGCGTCTAAATGGGACCATTCATGATCAGGGGCATATAAACTTGACGCATTTATAATGACGCATTTTCCTGTACCACGCTTAAAAAATCAAACACCAATCCTAGGATTTCTGGTTAATCAGCCATCGTCATACCCATCTAGCTGCTGGTGCACCTTCCCTTGCCATCGTCATACCCATCTAGCTGCTGGTGCCCCTTCTCTTGCCATCGTCATACCCATCTAGCGGCTAGTGCACCTTCCCTTGCCATCGTCATACCCATCTAGCTTCTGGTGCTCCTTCCCTCTAGCTGGCGGTTAACGTCCGCTTTCACCGACGCAATAAGCGAGTAATGTACACTTTTTATATAGTAAAGGCGGTCAGAGATTAACTAGTAGATACAAATAAGTTTACGTGTCGCCTAATTTTACCCAAAAGAGCGACGGATTTCCTACAACGTTTCACTGATTAAATCTTTTTTTCAACCAATTTTTCTCAAACATTTAATAATAGTACCGCTATCACATATTGTGCAATAACAGTTTCTTTACACGATTTCTTTTGTGTTGTCATCTTAATATCTATTTTAAACATCTAAATTATTTATAATATGACGCATGTTATGGAGCTGGTATTTAATACACCTACAGTTGACCTTATTGCAAAGTAATTTCATTGGTTGGTCTGTTGTGTTTACATAGTGTTTCTACTTAAATAACACGCCTGTTGTGATTTATGCAACCCAATACCATTTTATTATCAATAGCGAGGATAAAAAATCGTAAAATAGGCCTATATTTGATAACCATGTGGTAGATGGGCGATATGATACGCCAAAGCTACGGAAGTGTGTGTGGGCCAATAGCGCGATGGATACCGTGTTATTACTAAGGTAATATGTCAATATATTACGATCGTTGCGATGATTTTAATCCTGAATGGACTGTTTTTGTCGAGTTGATTGGGTTTGCATTTCGTTTTAAATGTACATGTTTGCCTTAAGATATTGGCGCATGGCGATATTTTACGAACATGTCGAAATATGCTACGGCGAAAAGGAATATGTCGACAAAACTTCAGAAAAGCAATATCTTAAAGCAAACGCAGCCATTTAAAACGAAAAAACGACATACAACATAGCGCGTTGATTCAATTAACTCGACATAAATCATCTTTTGAGGTGTAAAATCATCTCAACAATCACAATATGTTGACATAATACCCTATCTATTTCTCGGTATCTGTCTCGCTATTAACCCCTATACACTTCCATATGAAAGTCCCTGGACGTTGATGTGATACATAATATACTATGACAAATGACTGAAAACGACTTTTTGTCTTATGAAAGAAAAAGAAGTGGGGTTTAACGTCCACTCGACACAATAAAGTAATTTCGGGACTAACGTATGGTTCAATTTTATTCCAATAATTTGTTTGCGTGTTAGGGGTCTTTAGCAGTGGGAGGAAATCGGAGGACCCAGAGAAAACCCACGAGGTTGGACAGACGACACTACTTTTTGTCTATACACGACTGTAACGATTTTAAAAGCACCGATCTTCAATATTTTATACCATATGATTACATTTTAAACTGGTATAGTCCTTAACAGCGAATACACATGCAACAAAAGTGTGCTAGTGTGACGAAAACTGGCTAACCACATTTCAATACATTCACAGCGAAGGGAACACTTTTACATTTTTCACGCATTCGAGCTGAACACTGAGGCTTAATTCTAATGGCAGCTAAGGGAAGACTTCTACATTTTCACGCATTCGAGCTGAACACTGGGGCTTAACCCTAATGACTTATACCCGAAATGCCGAGCATACATTTCAATATAAAGCCTTGGTGATAATCCTTTGAGGGACTTTACATAGGCTATACAGGTTATTCACGAGGAATGGTGTGCAGCCACTTGTTGAAATGAACAAAGAGATTATTCGTTAACTAGTCTGAATTAATATTAACCATAAAACCCCTGAATACAATAAATAGGTAGTCAGAATTCCCACATAATTGGATAAACACGCGGAAAAATGCACTTTTAGTCGTTTTGACGCAGGGTAAAATGAGCTAAATCGCTAATGTTTGGGAAATTGACACAAATGGGTCGCGTAACATATAATAAAGTAATATGAATTTATATAAACTAATTTACATTCAGTCGTTTCCGTTTTTACTCTAATTTTAAATCAGTTATGTTCGGCGAAATACGCCAGAAGTCTCAATCGAATGGCAATCTCTAGCGTCTGGTTATTCCAGTCTACACCGATAGTATTTATTGCGCACGCTCTCCAGATATGAATATGGCATCACCGTTTGACATGACTTGTGGAATATGTCTAGCCTCGTTCTTCTAACCCCTTGTTACAAATGACGCTGAAACGCGTACCAATGGTAAAATGTTTATTTTGTTTTAAATATTGGATATCAGAAGCCCATCTTTTCCCGATAAGATCGCAACATGACAAATAAGGTCTTCCGGGTCTTCCGGGTCTCCCGGTTTCCTCTCACTGCTAAAGACCTCAACG